GGTTCGGATGTCACATATAACTACAGGCTAAAGTCCAGTTGGGAAAAATGTAGGATAAGGACGACGATTATGCCTGTTGGTTTCAGAAATAACATTTGCCACAACAATTACGAAATTGTAAACAAAATGAAACGGGCCACCAAGGAGGACGCTGGCGGTAGGACCGCATGATCGGATCTTGCAGAGCACATTTCGCCCTGAGCCTAAAGACCCAGTTTTGGGCGCACTGTATACACGGTTAGGCGATAAACCACGGGGCACCCCGCTGACTGGCTTGTTTACACCGCCAGTTACCACAGCGCACTCCAGTCGCCAGGGTGATACCCCGGTTTCAATTTTGCCTGCCACTTACTTCTGACAGCCGTGCCGACTGGACGGTTGATCAAGCGCGGGGGAACCCTTAACAGTCGGCTAGATTATGTCATCACCTGTCGGTGATTGCAATCACCACCGGTTTCCCCCCTCGTGGTTGGGTGGGCCGGACCGCAACGCCACAGTCACTTGGAGACGGCCGAGTTTCGGGGAGGGAGACCTGTAGAGTTTGCTTGGGTATACCCAATGACGAACTGTTTATGCTAGATCTCACTTGCCTTGCGCTGTTTGAGAGAGGTAGTAGAACGAACAACTGAAGCGTAGAGACTGAGGAGACACCTGTTGGGCTCCAAGAGAGTGGGCGAACAAGATACCCCCAGAGGAAATTAAATGCAGTGCGGTGGCAGTTTTCAACAAGAATAACTTCCTTCTTAGCGGCACCAGGAGTAAGTCTGCGGACCTCCAAAGGATAAACATCCTGCTAAGCGCGGTATAAACTTTAGTTCAACGAATAAACTGACTTAAGCGCCTTCTCTTAAGAAGTAATTTCGGCCTTGTAAAGGGACTTATTTTCGACTCCCTGACATTCTCCACTGTTTTCTCAACAGATCTCATGCAACATCTAACCAGTTTCGCAAGATTTAGACGATGATTTATAATGTCTGACTGTGAGAACAAAATGCGATGGCCCCATTTGTTAGTGAAACTCTTATGCAAATGGTCCCAGTGAGTTCGATGGAATCGGGGGAGACTGTGGATATTCAGCTAGATTAACAGGCATCCTGACGTGCCATGACTTTCATTCCTTCTTCTTTCCCTTCCTCCGATCACCGAGCAGTTAATTACTACATTTGTGCAATTACATGTATCTAGTGCATACTAACTAAAAGCTCATACACGGGTCCGTCACCTTTCTTGTCGTTCCATGACGTAGCCATTGAAAACGCTTTTTAAAAGTCAAATAATGCCACTTTCTCAGGTAGGAAACATGGGGCAGATGTTATTTACTGTCAACTGAGTACAAGAAGAATATTTATATACATTTTTTATGCAATATGTTTGAATTTGTAAGCTTTTTGAAACTCAGTGGGAAAATCAAACTACACAAGTAGTCCTTCTTGCGGCAAATAGTGCTTCCTAGCGGCCGAAAATAGGCTCATTCAAAAGCCGGCGGCCTGACGTAAGCGTACATAGGTAATCTTTTCGGATCTAAAACACATTACGGATTTTCAGTTAACATTTTATGAGATAGAATATCCACAGCATTTCCGGAAAAAAATGATATACTGAGATCATAATGCGAATACACCAGAGGGGATCTAACGTTGGGTGAAAACCCATGCCACGTTTGTCAATGCAGTTTTTTGGTATAACTTGAGTCAAGTTGAAAATCAGAGAATCAGACCAAGATTCATTTACAGTTAGCACATAAGGCTCAACTCATTTGTTACAGTTATCAGGTGGGTTGTCTAGTGTATGCCTGGACTTCAATGAGGCTGCCAACCAATGCAAGTCAGCGAAAGGAATGCTCAACTCACTGGCTTCCACGTTAGCAAACGTATCCCACCAGGTCCGCAGACGGAACAGGCCATTTTATCCCCGGCAGAACATTTGCAAAACGCAGAAGATCTCGATGCACGGACATCGAAATCCTTAAAGATGTTCACTCACCGTCCGAAAGTGACAAAAAGCATAAGGTCGTACTACGCGCCTTGAAGGGAGTCAGTGTTGGTTTTGATGAGGGCATATTCTCCAAGATATCCTGAATACTTTCACGACTGTATTTGGCGTACACAAAGCCAGCCTGTGGGCCATGAGCAAATCAAAACCAGGATCGCCATGGGGGAAGTGCCATGGAAACTATTAAATTCTCGAGCTCCTCGCCTTATACAACCCGACTAACAGAATTAAACCTTGTGGAAGGACAGTTCACACATCTTGTTACGGGACATGATCGTCCCGTTGCAACCTGGGGCAGTCGCATGGTAAGAAAGACGAAGGAGACGTGGATGTACATCTTTGGCCTAGTCGTTGTCGTCGGCCATAAATTTCCTAACCAAGGCTAAGATAACATGAAATGCAACCTTGGATTGCCTGGTGAGTGTACGGTGGCGAACAGACCCGAAATCACCATTCCTTCTGCAGAATCGAAACTTTTTTGGCTGGGTAATCGAAAATGCGCGAAGAATGCATTTAACATAGTTACCGGATCAGATTTCTGACTGGTATTTGCCGATTTAGTTGAATTTCCTACCACAAGCAACCGCCATTACTCATTCGTTTTCCACTGACAAGACTGGGTGTACTGAAGTTCTGCTTCAATTTCTCTCCAATGGATGAAGTGCTGTCCATATGGCTTAAATGCATCAAAATAACCTTGAAATATATGCGTTTCGAAATCCGTGCCAACGATGGGGTACCAAGCTCATCCCTTGTAATTTATGCTCATGTGTTGAAGGCCCGTTTGTCTTTTTCAATGCATTTACTTCTTCTATACACTGTTCCTCGTATCGTGCTGCAGATACTGTACGAAAAAGCTAAAGATTATTTTCTAGCCCTAAAGGCTGAACAGAACTGTTAAATCCGTAAACGATCGGTCTGTTGGCTTCCAAGCATTATAACAAGTAATGATTAAAAGTTACTTTGACAATTTAAGTAGCAAGGTAGTACCACTGTAACTTGCAAGCGAAGGACCATGTCATCCTACCAACAAGTTTGCCAATGTCGACAAAATACGCCAACGTGAGGGAATCAAAGGTCTATTGACGAAGTCCGGAGAATCCACTAACTATCGCGGAAAAATCAACCAGCGCTGATCCATTAATCAGGACTCGACTAAAGTGAGTTTAGTATGCCTACTTGATACGGTGTATGACCCCCAACTAACTTCAGCTAACCTGTGGACCGCGTCGTACATTCAATGGTGATAGAGGTTTTGCGGGTGGGGCAACACACAGGACGGAGAGAAAGAAGACACAGAAAATGAATGAACTTCTGCCGGAAATCTTATCGCACACCGTCATTTGGCAAAGAAACTGAGCGCAATAATTGAAAATAAACAAGAAGGAATTTTCAAAAAATGACGGACTTTGAATAAAGCGCCGGAGGTAAGTTAACGCCTAGTCAGGACGGGAAGCAAATTTCAAACAACGGAGACGGTGAATATTAACTGTTGTTTACAGTCACAGTTAATTTTAGGGTATATTTTTGGAGTTGCCATCTACTTGGGGGTCCCACACCCTATCGTTACCGCTGGATTCCCCCACTGAAATCAGTGCCACTCAGTGTTCCCTCTCCCTCTTTGAGCGCTTACCTGTCCGAAACAAGTCGGCCCGCACCGAGACAGGAACCAACGTGGCGTGAAAGCTCCCATCTAAGGCACGCCACACGCATGTGATTCAATAGTGTTGTCAGTGTGATGCCCGTATTATTTCAACGCACTTGCTGTGCAGCCCGCCTGGGGAGGGAGGGGGGGGGGGTGGAGCAACACTAAAAGTATCAGCGCATGCCAGCTGCCTTAATTGCGATAAAAAAGTGTGATGTTATATCCATTTCCGTAAAATTTTCATTGTCGATCAAAGAACTAAATGAACGCCGACAATTTTATAGGGTCTCACCTAATACTTTATCTAAGTTTGTGAACTGCTTCTCTCGTTGACTTTTAGAAGTACTTTAGTGTAATGTGATACCATACTAAAAGCACAGGTACTAGCCAAAAGCCCATACACACGCGTTTCGCCGATGATTTACCGCTGAATGGCGCTGCTGCGTGAGGTTCGGCTCGTCAGTGGGTTCCCCAGCATTCCCGTCTGTTTTCTGGTAGATACTCCAATTTAGAAACGATCGCCTCTTAATTTCCTCAGAAATTATCTACGAAGTTGGAGTAGATCAGTTTATTCAAGGTCTATAGGCTCATACTGAAGTATCTACCAGAAAACACAAGGGTCTGCTGGGGGACCCACTGACGAGCCGATCCCCTCGCAGCTGCGCCATGCAGCGGTAAAACATCTGCAAAACACGCGTGTATGGGCTTTTAGCTAGTACCTGTGCTGTTACTATGGTATCACCTTACCCTAAACTATACTACTAGCTGCCTGTCGGCAGTTAATGAATATTACACGCTTACCCGCTGCGGCTGATGGACTTTGACCCAAATATTCATGTATAAAATTCTCGGTCTGTGCCTAGAGACCTTGAATAAACTGACCTACTCCAACTTAGTAGGTAATTCCTGAGGAAATTAAAAAGCGATAAATTTAGAAGTACTCTCCAACTCTCTTGTGCGAATTGGCATGCGTGTACCTAAGGTTGAACCGATCATGGGACAGCGTTGTCTGTCCTTATGCTGAAATCATTAAGCGTCGCATCTCCTCTGGCTAGAATCCCCGCAAGCGTCATACCCACGTGCGTCCAGTCTTTTAAATGCAATCAATACTGTGAGCCGCAACAGACGTCCCACAGCACATCGTCGGCCGGCGAGCACAACAATCATGTCCTCCCACATGTCGCGTACAACCAGTTTTAAACCGCGGACTGAATTACCAGTAGTCCTACCAAAACATTCAAATTCCTCCGTTGGCGAAATGCAGAGGATCCGCATAACCCCTAATCAGCCGTCCAGGTTACCGCCCCTAATGACGACAAAAATGTATCTTAAGGAAATACCCCCGGCCTATTCTCGAAACCAAATGCTGCGCATCATTTCTGAAGCCGCCAGTCTGCCTGGTAACCTCTTCAACCGCAAGGAGACCTCCGTCCTGGTCCAACTCTTTCTCACCGCTGCCAAGAAGGGCGGATTTGAGGGAGGAATGCTGCCGTCCGAGCTCCGTGTTTTCCTTTTTGGCACTCTGGACATTACCGATCCAAATACCCTGGATGGCTTATGCAGAGCGGCCTCAACAGTTACAGTGAGGGGAAGAATAAAGGCTGAAAAAACGATCCGTCTACCCGGTTTCATAACAACTCTATCCACCCTACTGCGCGGAAATCTGGAGTCACGGGCTGCTTTGGCCTTTGACGTACTCGACATTGACATGGACGGTTATCTGCAGGAGCATCTGGAAATGCGACGTCTGCTGAAACGCTGTATTGATGTAGATAACCCAGAACCCGGACTAGAAGATGACCCATATGAAGCCTTTCGAGACTTTGGACGCTACATACAGCAGTTTTTCAATGTCACACAGTTACAACCGCTCACCAAGCGCATGTTCATAGAACTGGTAAAAGAAAAACCCTTCCTACTGGATACTGCTCTTCCTGTCTTCCCCGAGCCCTATTCAGCGTGTACCTTTGAATTTCTCTTTGGAAATTCCACATACCCAGACCTCGAGTAGCCGATGTTTATGACGACAAAAAAGGAGGGAGGATGAGGTGCTCACGAATAAAAACGAGCGCAACGGCAGGACTGGACTGCGTGATAGTTGGACTGCATGTCTGGCAGGAACTTGTACATTTTGTATAACAAATTACATGTACCGCATAATGATGCATCGCAGACCAGAGTTGAGTCCTCTGCGCAGGATGGACGTGCATTGCATCGGAAACCTGTAGGTTGGGACCTCTTCAGATTGTTGAAATCCTCGAGACTCGAATGACGTTAAACCTCTGAATGAATGCATCAGGGGCTCCCTGCTGTCTCGGGCTCATTGCCATGTTGAAGGGAGGACGGGGGCCTTTAGAACGATGTGAGTAATATAGCAAACTGAGGTCAGGGAAAGGAGTGTACGACTTGGTTTAACCGCGCACATGAGGAAAGGTCACCCATTTATGGTCCTGGACATTTTTAAACGTTGAGAAGGAGTCCAGAACCAGATTGCTCTGTTAAATCACGGTCTCATGAGAACGTGAAAGGAGGGCGACCCTTGGTTGAGTAAGCGCTGGAGCTCGTTTTTTGGGGCTCGGGTCATGCTCGGAACGAGATCGCAAGCCGTTTTTCGGAGTTAGTTTCGGGCTCGTCTTAGCGAGCTCTAAGCGATCTCGAACCAATGACCACATCAGAGCTCTAAAAGAGCTCTCGTACCTTGTGAAACGAGTTCTGTGCGAGCTCGTTCAGAGCTCATTTTGCGATTAGGACAGGAGACGTAGATGCGCACTTCTTGTAATTTATTTTAAGTACTGCAATCGGCTACGTGGCTGATGAGCATATTAACTTAAGGAATCGTTTTCGTCAGTGTCTAGTTTACCAGGTGGACTTCACAGTGCACTCAACGGAAGGGCTGTCCAAGTGTAAACTTCGGTGGGATCGTTTTTTGAAATCGACGACGCCCTCGTCGCGAAGACACCATGCTTGGCGCGAAAAACTCGTCGTCTTGATAGTATGGAGACGATCCGGACAATATGTAGGTCCTTTATAAATGGCCTACATAGATGTCCTTGTTACCTCACAATGTTGTCTTTCATGCCCTTTTTTAACGCGAGATTTGCACTCAGTCGAGAAAGCATGCTTAAAATTCAATGGCCTTCGACCTGAGGGACATAGAAAGCAAATACTCTCTAATCGCATCAGGCGGTGCAGACGTCAGAGTTTACCTATCTTAAAGAAGCCGCCAGTGCGGTAGCGAGAGCGGCTGATTGATCCACGAAACCCCGGTTTACTACATTATGTCTCAAAAGAGGTCGCCCATGTCAAACTTTTCTTGCAATTTACTAGGCAAAAAGGCAACGCTTTAGGGCTAGTCAGAATCTCATAATTAGGTTGAACACCCAACAAGTAATGACACTTCTGACTGGGGCGCACCAAACCTACTCAATTGTTAGACCACATTCGAATCATGTTTTAATAAACGGCAATGGTGCGATATCCAACCCAGGTTCGTGGATTATTTAATACTGCCTACTGATTTCAACAAAAATAGCGGTGTCCAAATATGGCTACTTTGCCAGCTGCCCGTCGACTGGCCCCACCCCTATAACCCTTTTTTCCACCGGTCTCCTAAGACACGATGACCTAGACTCAGTTATTGGGAAGGGATCGCATAATGCGCCGTCGCCTAGTAAACAATGATCGTGTAAAATCTAATTTTCATTGTTTTTCTATATCTTGTTTCATTTGACAAGGCGCAAATAGGGTTTTTAGAAAAATAATTTCGGTGTCATTTTCCGATGAGATTTTGTAGTCTTTGGACGCTACATTTGAATTCATAAACTAATACGACTTTGGACAGTGGTGTGACTCAGATTCAGGGGCAATGATAAACTTGTAACCCTAGGGACAAGATAATTTGAGTAGTTGGAGGAGTATACTTCGAGTAGCATGATCCAATTTCGTTTACCCGGATTTTAGGTGTCGTACCAAATTTAGCATAGGTGAACTGGGCGTGCCATCCAGTATGCATTGCAGGCTAGTTAGACAGGTCTACGGTAGGCCTTCAGAAGGGCATTCTTATAGCCCATTACGATCGCGGAGGTGTGAAGGAATCCCAAGTAGAGGATTACTGATTTTTCGTCAAAGCTTCAGGTCTGCTATGATTCTTTAGAACGGCGATAGCCGATGAAAGAGAATCATGGCCTTTGTCCAAAAGGCACAATTACGCAGAGTACCGAAAAGTGCAAGCGAAACTATTCCGTCTAAAAGGACACTTCCAGGACTTCGCCGAGCTGCGCCTCTCTATATTATAGAGAATTTTGGTCTTCAAACTTCAAGCCTATGATGAGAAATGTGCAAAATTAAGCTCAAGTAAATCAAACACGTTTACAATGCCAGCCATGGAACGGCTGGTCAAGAAACTAACTCATTAAGCGAGCACGATTGTATACCTACATACTTGTTCGTGACCTACAATACAAGTAACTACACCGATCATGTGCAGCCTCGTTAGTAATGATTAAGTTAATGTTTCGATAGGCTTGGACAAGATGGTCCCGACCAAGACAAGGGAAACCGAGATGGCGGTTTTAGCTCATTAGGCGCTGTCAGTCTGCCCTACCCAAACTCAAGCGTGGGGGACAACTAAGGTTCGAACCCTGGTTTTTTTGATAAGTGGGCATTATTAGCCATTGAGCCATGGGCTAGTTGTACTGTGGTTGTGATCGGCTATATTAACCCTGGTAGATGGCCACTCCTCAATCAGGTACGGGAGTTGTGAATGAGAACCCGATTAAATGTAAACTCAAATGACGACGATATTATTAAATAAGGAAACATTAACAACTACTAACGTAATGTAAGTAGTATGTGCGTGCGACAAAAGCACAAGGGCCTGCTTAACAATCGATAGTGGAGTAATCAACTTCAAGAGCTGCCGTCAGATAATGAAATTGGAACAAAATATGCGCGGCGAAAATATACCATAGAGAGTGAAAACAACTAGTAAAAGAACACATTACGATGTAAACCAAAGTAAAGGGTAAGTCAAATGTCAAATGCCGTTGCGGGTGAGCACTTAGGAGGCAGGGTAAACGAATGAAATGGGTCGGCCGAAAACTGAGCAAGAACAAGGTAACTCCATCCATCCTAGATGGACAGACAGAGGTTAACATTACAGTTAGCTTGAGAGCACTGTCTTCTAAGGCTTATGCTAAGAACGGATTATAAACGTCAAATGGCACATTGGGATCAACAATCCAAGTAGTGCTTATATAGCCATTTAAAGAAATTAGAAAAAATCAAGGATCTCGCGTAGTCGAAATGGAATAAACCATACATTCTAGGAGAGCAGTTTTATACGTTTAACAATCATATATTTACAGAAGAAGCTGAAAGTAGGGATTCAATGAGTCGAATTTTAGGTGTAGACGCCGTTCTGTATTAGATATTGAGGCATTCAAGGACGATTTGATTGTAAATGACAAATTAATTGGCCGATATGTCCATCACGGGGTAGGGAAAAGGATGCGTTGAGGTCTAGGACTGTGAGAAGAATGTGAGACTTCGTCTTTTACGACAGATCGCCTTCGTCACCTGTCGACTACTTCCACAAACAGTATTGAAAAGTCTCTCAGCCGACTTCACGGACTGGGCACTTCAGAACCTGGAAGACTACATGAAACTTATCCAAAAAAAGAAAGCTGGCTTGAACCAACTAGTTGCTGCGATCGTTGAAGGGACTTCAGTCTGGATGTGTTTCCGTGGGACGTTCCTCCTTTTCCGCCTGAAATACATATTTCGCAGGAGGTTCAACAATGACTCCGACAAGACCTGCCAAGCGTATTGACGTCAGAGTAGACATATGCTCGTTTCATTGCCCTTAATAACGTCACAGTGGGTATTGTAGCTTGTGGTGACTGTATTGTCTAAGTTATCTCGTAAAAAATACCGACGTTCTTTTTGGAACTCACGGGTTTTATTGGAGGAGTGCCACTAGTTAATTATCCCTTTCTTTTATCTCCTAGAAGCTGATTTATTGTCATCCACTTTAAATCCGTGCACCACTGCCTGCTCCAGCTGAACATGTAGACTAATGGCGTAATTTACGCTCATAACAACCTCCGGATGCTTAAGGTCGTCCGCAAATGATGCCCCGATGGACATAACCCTCGACCGTCGTGATTGACAATGTCCACCGTGTGCTCTACAGCAGAGTGAGGGTAGGGACGGTGAATTGCGCGTAAATTCGTTTATAATGACAGTGGGATAGCTGGAGGGCTAGGAGTTGTCGTCTTTTAAGAGCAACGGAGTATGACGACGTTTACCTTAATAATGCATCTTGAAAAGTTTAGAAATTGCCCCCTTGTCACGCGCGACCTATGGGTTATTTTTGACGACTTTTAGCAAAAAATCTTGTCAAAGGGAGGGTAGTTTTCTAAACTCATAAGCATGCCCAATGCGCATAGAGCGCAATAATTCTTTAATCATTAAGAGGGAAAGTGTATTATTTGGTCAACACCCACTGTTCTACACAGCATGCTGTAGACTTTCCCATCCTCAGAAGTAAACAGCGTTTTCCAATATTCCTGCCCCATTAAACAAAGAGATGAAAAACCTGCTCTTACGGGGACGATTAGCAGTATTTTGGGTCGAAATCTATCCCATTAATGTTAATTCGCTGGCTGGATCCTCGCAACAGCTGACAAAAGCAATTTTGGGATGCATCGTAGTTCAGTCCACTTTGTGCTGACGGTCCCGAAATTAATGAGACACAAGACACAGTATTATTTCTCACAACTCGTTTTATCTACCAGTATACCTGCTAATAGTTTTCTATTTAATAAAACACGGTACACTCCATCTGGCCAGTCAAGTAGCTATTTAGTTTTACGATAAACAACCTGGGTCATTTGCTCTAAAAACAAATAATCAGCTATCATTGGCAATGCAAGAAGTGTTCTGGTAGGTCATCCTTCAAACGAAAAATTTCGGTACGAAATATTGCATTATCTCTCTTATTACTAAACG